TTATCTCCCAAAACGGGCTTAGGCTTCAGGGCTTAGGGCAGCATGACCCTTCTAGAATTCGGAGGCCCTGTATGTCAGAACGTCAACACCACAAAGGTAAGTTCAGGGCTGCCTGGGAGGAACGCCCTGAACCGTACGGAAGTCAACCCTGCTGCAAAGTGTCGTCGCACCCCTGACCCTACACCCAGAACTGGTCGTGAGTCACAACAGCTTTGCTCAAAGGCCACGCAACCTTCACATGAGTTTTTGGGTTCAGGGTTTGAGTTGTACATATACAGACATGTAGACAGGGCTTACCGGGCCTAGGCTTGAATTGAACCCTTTTTCATTTGAAGCTAGGTAGCGGCGCTTGTTGGAAACCGTGTGCTTTGTGGCATTCGTCAAAACGGTTTGTATTGGAAACGTGTGGCCAAGCATGTGGGAAAATCTTGCAAAAACGCACCAGGTGTTCAACAGTGCCAATCCTCGAGGGGGGGGGGCGCGTTTGCTGCGTTTTGTGCGTTTTCCCGAGAAAAAACGGAAGGGTTTTCAAAGATTTGCGTTTGTGTGTTTAGTGCGGATGTGTGTGTATGTGCACACAGTGCTCACGCGCATTCTTTTCTCTCTGTTCTCCTCTCTTTCTGTCTTTCTTCTTTCCCGCATTTCCGTGGCATATCGTCCCTCCCGGAAAACAAGGTCCAAAACAAATAGGTTCATAGAATGCCAATAAAATCCAAACCGCCACTTGCTTTGAGGGACCTGGACGCACTCGCTGAATGTTTAAGCCCACTCCGCTGTAAGATACTTTTGCCCAGAGCCACGCCCGCAGTAGACTTGCCGCGGGGCGAGTAGGTGACGAAAAAGGCTCAGCGGCAAAACTGGCTGAAACGGCTCCACGAGCAAGTTCTTGCCAAGAGTGTGGCATCTCAAGTGGAAGCTTAGAGCATAGAACATCACGTGAGACCGCGGGCCCGAGCTCAGCAAGGGTGGACAGATTGGACGGCGCCGCCAGCACCTCCGATGTTGAACCAGTGACCAACTTCGCTAGCTGTAGCTGCGCCGCAGCTTCGACTCTTCGATGAAACTCCCGGCACACAGATGTCTCGTGGGTGAAGAAACCGAGGTCCTGAAGAAATGTCAAAGTGGATTCCTGCTCAGCAAGAGCTGCTGTGCTGACCTTGGCCGCTCGCCGCGCAGTAGCTGAGGCATGAGATGCATGCCGCGACAAAGCCAGGTGCTTGGACTGCTGCGAGGCCAAGATGCATCTCATGGCTGCAACTGGCGCTGTGCTGTCCAGAGCAAACACAAGCTTCGCACCAGCCTTGGGGGCTGAATACCCTAGCCCAAAAAAGTTAACCTATTATATTCCATTCTACTATACTATATTATAATATATTATATATTCTTTTTTCTATTATATAATATTACATTACACATATAGGAGGATTCCACATAACCCAAAAGGTGACATGTTACCAGCCCCCCTTTTAGCAGCCTCCTCGGTGAGCTGAAGGGCCGCGCGCCAGGCTGAGCACCGCTCACACGCAAGGATCGTCGCGCAAGTGGCGGGAAGATCTCGGATGGACGCCGACAGCAGCCTATACTCCCCTTAGAACCTTAATAAAAATGGTATTTTTCCCTTAGAACCTTAATAAAAATGGTATTTTTCCCTTAGAGCCTTAAAAATGGTCTTTTTAAATGTCCTCTTGGGTTTTATGTAAACAAAAGTAAGAAAATAATTTCCAAGGGGGATAGAGCAGCCCCAAGGACTTCTCCCATTCAGAGGCGCCCGCCAAGGAAACAATAGCGGTACCGACCAAAGCGGAGCCAGCGCCGGCACTTAGCAGAGAAAGCGCCTGCTGCCAATTCGACCCTTTCCTTAGCCAAATTTGTTTGGGAGGTTCGGGGAGAGGGCTTCTGAAAAAAAGAGGCTTGCCCTCGCTGAAGTCGGAAACTCGCCCAAAAAACATTGTCGAACAACGCTACCAATCTTGCCCCAAAGTCTCGCATGCAGCCATGGCTGCACCAATGCAGGCTGCACTGGCCACCAGCCCACGGAAAGGCATCTCGTGCAGAAGCGACAGTGCGAGCCTCCACTTTGAGCCCAGGTTGCAAGCTGCAATCGCAGATCCGAACGTGACAACATCAGGGTCCACACCGCGTCGCAAAATGCGCAAAGCCCGTGCCCACTCACCACCACGAGCGCAAGCAGTTCCTATGGCATTCACAATCGCAATGTCCCGCCGCAGCGTTCGAGCAAAGTATCCCAGCGCTACCTGCCAAGCGGCGCCTCGTCCACAAGCATCTATCGCGATGCAGACGGCTTTCAAGTCTAGTGCCACAGATTCCTTGGCATCTTCGTGCACTTGAAGCACCTCAATATACACCTTCACCCCCTTCACCCAGAACCCCCCAAAAAAGATACCTCTTCGGTGCATGCAAGGAGTCTAACAAATGCACAGCGAGTGGCCACCTACGGGTCCAAGTGGAAAGACCCCCCTAAAGGGACCTTGAAAAGGGTCATTTAGGGGTTTGTTTGGGGGCTACTTAGGTATATGGGGAGGATATGAGGTATATATAGGGTAATTTAGGGGTTTGTTTGGGGGCTACTTTGGTTAATATAGGGACTAGATAAGGTACAACTTGGGGTTCTATAGGGGAAGTTCACATTCAATGAGGGCCGGGATGGGCCGGGCATAGCGGGGCTTGGGGATTGTCAGCTCGAACAGGCTGAGAGCACGATTGGAGGGGATTCTACCCCACGAACGCGAAGGGAGGGGACATGCGACAAATCTCACCCCTATGAGCACGAGAGGAGGGGACATGCCCTCACCAAACCCGAAAGGGGACATGCGACAAACCTTTAGGGCCCTCGCCAAACCCCACTAGCCGAAGGGAGGGGACATGCGACAAACCTCTAGGGCCCTCACGAAACCCTCCGAGCACGAAGGGAGGGGACCATGCGACAAACCTCCCAGCACAAAGGGAGGGGGGCATGCGACAAACCTCTAGGGCCCTCACGAAACCCTACGAGCACGAAGGGAAGGGACATGAGACAAACCTTTAGGGCCCTCACCAAATCCCACGAGCCGAAGGGAGGGGACCATGCGACAAACCTCTAGGGCACTCACCAAATCCCATGAGCCGAACGGAGGGGCGATGTGACAAACCTCTAGGGCACTCACCAAACCCCACCAGCCGAGAGAAGGGACATGCGACAAACGTCCAAACCCTGCGAGCACGAAGGGAGGGGACATGCGACAAACCTCTAGGGCCCTCACCAAACCCTAGCAGCACGAAGGGAGGCGACCGGCGAAAAGAGCCTCTAGGGCCCGCACCAAACCCCATGCGCCGAAGGGAGGGGACATGCGACAAACCTCTTATGTCCATCCGTGCCTGGCAGTTTGTCCGCAGGCTGCAGCAGCAGCAGTGACTGCTGCAAGCGACGGGTGCATGGACTTCTGCTGAAACTCCGTCACGAGCAGTGCTGCTCGTTGCCACTGCTTGCCTGCCACGGCATTGGGGAACTACTACCACACAACTCCCACGATTATTACCTACCCGACATGCAGAGCATTTAGCCAAATGTGTTTTTTTTGCTTCAGGGCTCCTGTGGTAGCTTAATGTGGTTAAACTCCAAACCCTAAAGTGCCAGACCCTCGTGGTTTCTGTTCTCTGAAACTTCTGAGTGCGTGGTCGGTCGTCGAAGCAACCCAACACTCAGCACCGTGTGAATAATGTAGGGGCCTTAATGATTACTGGAAGGGAATACCATTCGTAATTATTCCGAACCCTATATTACCTGCATTTCAAAACGCCCTTGTGTGAATTTGGTCACACACGTATCGCACGCAGCATAATGTGCAAGAGTCGCTGCTATGCAGAATGGTGGGCCACTTCAAGCGCAAAGTGGAACCCATGTCCTGATGGCTTTTGCAAGTGAGCCGAAAAAGGCAACCCGGCGGACCCGCGCTGAGATGGGACAATGCATTAAATTGAACAGTCTTTGCTGATGTCGACATACAACAGCTGTATTGGGCGCAACCGAAGCATGATTTGCACATGCTCGTAGGCCTGCTGGAACTAAACAAGTTCTTGGCCTAACAACTTGTCTCATGTCCTTGAAGGATCGTCGTCTCCGACTTGATCGGGCGAAAGCAATAAAAGGTTTCAGTGCCAGTCCAGTTTCAATTTGGCAGTTGCGTGTATCTGCTTCGTGGCGCCGGCTGAGCGAGCCGGCACGTGTCTCACACTGAAAGGACGAGCACGGACCACGGAGCACGAAATTGATGAGAAAATGCAGCAAAACAACAGTGCCTCTGCCTTCTACTGCTGCTTCGTGCATACGAAATTGACAGGACATAGGTAGAGAATAGAAGGACTGCATTCGTTTATCAACAACTACACAGGCATGCCGCTGCCGAACGCGATGGGTCTACAAAGGTTTGCAACGCAGCTTGTCTTCCAGGCTTCTTCTGCCTGCTGCTTGCATGCAAAGCTGCACGGGCCTCTCGAAAGAGCGGCCACTAAGGCATTGCGGCAAACCTGCACGAGATTTGGGATGGTGTAGGTGTCTGCGACGAGACTGAACGGTTCAGTGAGAGCTTGTGCCCAGCCTCGTCTGGACCAAGGCCGTCCTGGCAAATCCCATATGCTTACAAACATCAGCCCTCCGACTTCCCAACGAGATTCACGGCCCCCTAAGCCCTTGTACTCGACATGAAAAGTACCCCCCGACCTTCTCAAGCTGAAGAAACCGCGCTAGCGCTTGGCGCCATTCCCCCTGTCTTCCATGGCGCGTGATGACTTGCGTTGCTTGCCGCAGCACCCTGGACATTGCCGAAGTGGCTGCCTGCAAGCCAACTCGATGAGCCAAGAACAATGTCGCGCGATTGCTGCCCAGGACCTTTTGCTGGAGATGTGGGGGCTTACAATAATAGGGGACCCCAATATATATAGACCCCGAATACTAGGAGCTCTTATAATAAGGAAGGGTCTCAATAAGGTAGCCCTAACATCGTAAACCACCATGTGAAGAAACGCCTCGTCGTGTACAGGTGCCCGTGCCCCAGGGGCATAACTGTCGAGGCAAGTGGTCGCTGGGCACACACAACCCTAAACCCTAAACCGTAAACCCTAAATCCCCCTTCCCCCCCTCTCGTATCAAGCAGTTCTTCGGTGGCCTCCATTCAGCATTCCAGCCAACATGTTCCTTGTCACCGCGAATGCTTGTTTGGGCATTCTTTTCTTGGATGTTCCCGTTTGTACTCACAGTTCTTAATAAGGATTATCGTACCCCCCCGTATTATACTGCCTATTTCAGGAGCTGTTCGTATAAGGGGGAACATTCCAAGGCATTCTTGTTTTGCTGAGTTAAACAAGTGAGGTTACGAACCGCCCTGACAGGGCTGCAGCCTTTGCAAAGCAAATAAGCTGGATAGCGTTTCGTACGAGTGCCACTGCAGAAGGAAACCCTATCCACACACACGCGCCCTCATTGAGCGGGACAAGCAAAAGCTTCACAGCTTGACAAGTCTGATGAAGGTGATCGGTGAACCTACTGCTCATATGTAGCTGCGGAACAGAAAGGGTCCAGGATGTTAAGCCACATCTGAGCGAAGGACTTTCTGGTCTACTAGATTCGGGTCTGGGCTGGCTCGTTGACCTTGGATGTGTCTTCGGTTGGACTCAGAAGCTGCTGGGCAAAAACTCTTATTACGCAAAGGGTGCGAACTGTGCTGGAATAGTTCGGTCACGAACGACGGGTACAGTTCGTGCAGGTTTACGTTCACCAGGTCCCCTCATTTTGAGACAGAGCCCGCCAGGACCCAAGGCAACAGGAGCACCTTTTTTCAGCCTGGCAGCGTATTGGCCTGTGTAAAGGGAGCCGACATGCAGGTGCAGTGCAGTCTGCGCCATGGGCTTAGCCGCAGCAATTGAGGCAGACGGCAGTCTTTATAACGCCTGCGTAAAGGGGTCGCCAACATGCAGGTGCGGTGCACTCTGCGCCATGGCCTTAGCCACAGCAATTGAGGCAAACGCTCATTGCCAGCCCGGCGCTCACTTCCAGCGGGCCGGCATCAGCAGCCACGGCCTCCGCAGCACGCGCCCCAGCCTGCAACAGCGCCGCAGGGTCCTCGAAAGCCTTCGATGGGCCGAGGTCCTTCAGCCGTGCTGTGGCGGAGGCAATGGCACTGAGTATGTCGCCGTTCTCGAAGTTCTTCTGGGACTCGGATTGCAGCAGCGTGCCGTCGGAGTTGCCCACATCCTGGGACAGGGCGAAGCCAAAGGGGTGCTCGGTCTGCGGAAGCACGGAGAATGAGAGGTCCATGGTGCCTTCTCCCTCTAAGCCGATGTAGCGCAAGTCAATGTTGCCAGAGATGTCCAAGCTGCCTCTCAACATGAGGAGGAGAGACTCCCAGTACACAAGCCCTACAAAATTCTGTAATTCATAAGAGTGAGATGAGGTAATTGCTAGGATTCGAGGGCGCTTTAGGATTCTAGTCCCCACTTTGTGTCGAGCAGAGGCCTCCCCACTCCACGACGTCGCTCGGGGCTTCGGAGAACTCAAAGGCCACGTCTTGGCTCGCGGAGAACTGAACGCTCTGGGCAGGGTCACCTCCAAAGAGGGGCTGGGAGAGGCCCAGTTCCCAAATCAGCCTGTAGAAGACCTCTCCACCACTGCAGCCGCTCATCACCTGAAAGCTCATGCTGATACCCGGAAGCCTGTAGGGCAAGTCCAGGCTCATCCCCCGGCCGACCTTCACCCAGAAGTCCGGCCCCGAGCAATCCACGCGCGCGGTCTGGCCCCTGAACTGCAAGCCATCCACCCGCTGCAGCAGGGACGTCTCTGTGAAGACCTCCTTCAACTTGTCCCCGATCTCCCGGATGTCCTTTCTGACCAGACAAAAAAAACATCGGGAAGCCACAAGATTCAGCTCGAATCATGCTCATAAACACTAACCCTTCATAGCATCATCAGCATCGTCGTCGTCGTCACACGCCCCTAACATCGTCATCACATCATTGACATCGTGGTGTCCTGGATCAGCCGGCAGACCTCCGCCTCCGCTGAAGACCCGCTGCATCCCGAAAACCCGGCGCGGATCTGCTCCTCGAAGAAGCAGTAGGCGCCCACGACGGCACGGATGGGATAGTGGAGCTCTTGGGGGAAGCAGAATTCTTGCACTTCCAAGTCCTGGTCGATTGCAATTCCGCTTCTCAGTGCCCTAACATCCCTAAAGGCCTAAAGGCCCGAAAGCCTGACAACCGAAGCAGCCCCCCATGAACCCCTGTAGAATCTGATAAATACTTGACTAGACCTAAAGCCTAAACCCTAAACCCTAAACCTTAAACCAAGCCTGGCGGCCATGAAGGGGGCTGGAATGTTGAAGATGCCGGGCTTCGTGATGCACTGGCGCACTTGGCTGACAGTCTTCTTGAACTTGTCCTTGATCTCCCACACCTCTCCACGTCGGGTCTTTCTGAGTTTAGGGTTTAGGCTTTAGGGGGCTCGGATCCCTAAACCCTTTGGTTCACAGGATGTTCACGGGGTTTACAATTGTTCCGAAGCTGGCAGGCAAAACCCTAAACCCTAAACCCTAAACCTGTTGATTTTCTTCACTTTCTTGGGAGATCTATGGCTGCCAGGGGCCGTAGGCATCCGCTGCAGCCCTTAGCCGATTTTTTGCGGTTTGCAGGCCCCTCTGCATCTTGAGCTCTGCGTCCAGCAATGGGTGGGTTCTGAGTTTTACGGATGGTTGAGGAGCATGGGCTTCAGGATTTCGGGTTTAGGGTTTGAGCTTTAGGGTTTAGGGTTGCTTCTAGGGTTTGCAGTGCTAGGATTCAGGGTTTACGGTTTCGGAAAGGGGTGCTTCTAGGGTTTACAGTAGGTAGGTTTCTAGATCTTCCAAGACAATATCTAGATCCCACGCTGGCTGTCCACACTGTGACTCAGTGAACCTCCACATCACCAACATGAAAGCATCCTATGTCTGTTGATGCGCAGTCATCTCTTCCGTGTAGTCCCTAAACCCTAAACCCTAAACCCTAAACCCTTCACCCTAAACCCTAAACCCTAAAACCCAACCCTAAACCGAGTAGTTTCCGAGCAAAACTTTAGACCTCCGATGCGCCTTTGGCGACGTGAAGATCGACTTCATGGTGTTGAAGGCCCCGCAGTCCTGCTTGGAGGTTCATGGTCTTTATTAACCAATTATTACTGTACTGACAGGGTTTAGGGGGTTTAGGGTTTAGGGGTTAGGGTTACTTATTTAACCAGTTGTATCTGTACTTATACCCCACTTATAAGCCCCTGAAGTGCCCCATATGGTTACAAGTACAGTTGCAAGTACAGTTATGAGTGGTTAATAAGCACCATGAACCTCCAAGTGGAGGTTGGGTGAAAATGTCCGGATTGGGGCCCGGGTCTACGTGTCGTTTTGGTTTGAGGCTTTCAGGGCTGCGGGGCATTGTAGGCTGTTGGGAGTAGTGTTGCGAGGAGTTTTAGGCTTCAGTTTGCATGTGGGGATCGAGGCTTCCTCATATCGCCCAAGCATCGGCCTACATCGTCTCGTAGACGAACCCTAAACCCCGAACCCAAAACCCTAAACTGCGGGCATGCGCTGTCAAAACAACAAGGGGCACCTCCGAGCCCAACTCAGCGTGTGTTGAAGGAATCGGAACTTCAGCCACCCAACCAGCAAGAATGACCCAATTCCGGCATGGGAAGGGCGATTACGGCTTAGGGTTTAGGGTTCCCAAATCAGCCCTGGACTGCATGATCTCTTCCGCAAACGCGGCTGACACAACGGGACTTCAATGCTACAGGGAGCGCTGTCAAACTCATAATTAGAATCAGTGAAGAATCGCAGCCGATTCTTAACAATTGAGAACCCTCAGAAGCCGACAGCAACGAGGAACAGTATAGGAACCTAATTTGAAGAATCTCCCGGGACCGATTGTTGTGAAAGAAATCCCTTCCGAAACCATCTGCTCCCATGATGTAGTTGATCTCTAGTTGCCCCACGTGTCACCCTAAACCCTAAACCTTAAACCCTAAACCCTAAACCCCTATGCAAGCCCGCCCCAGAACCCCAACGTCCGTGGGCGTCATCTGCAAGAAGCCCATGCCCGTTGGCACGCACAGGCTGCCAACCTTGGTTGCCCTCCTGCTGGTTTTTTCGGTGTAAAGCATAGGCCTGTGGAATCGTTGGTTCTGATCTTGGGGTCTATAGTAGAACCCTAAACCCCAAACCCTAAACCCTCAACCCCAAACCCTAAACCCAAACCCTGGCTGAATATCAAGTCTTGCTGCTTGGCCGAAAATGAGACTCTTCAATCAAACTCTTCGGCAACCCAGAAGTTCGGTGCCCAGGTGCATCCACTTCATGGACCGACGACAATGCGCCGTTGAAGAGCCTGTTTAGGGTTTAGGGTTTAGGGGCATTTGTCTACTTGGGGTTCCGGCAATCCCCTCTGAAACAGGTGCATCATCATCCCACCACAACGCAAAATGTTGGGAGTCGTGACTGTACATTGTGGGAGGCATATCATGTTTTCGGTACTGCCAACGCCCCTAAACCCCAAAACCTTAACCCAAAACCCTAAACCCTCAACCCTTCATAGGTTCCCCTACTACCCCCCTCTATACTACCCCCCCTAGGTCCCCCCCCCATAACTAAGGTTCCTTCCTCCGAGGGATATTTATGCCTAATCAAAGTTATTTAAGGGGGGAACCTAGGGGGGGTAGTACGGAGGGGGGTAGTAGGGAAACCCATGAACCCTAAACCCTAAACCAATAGTTACAACAGCCTGGCTACCTGGCTACCCTACAGT